ATGTGTGTGTCTAGAGATGTGTATATCTCTCTATATATATGTGTGTGTGTATATAGATCTATATCTATATAGACATAAACTTTACATTTTAAAATGCATGCAATTTAGTTAAGGCCATTGTACCCATGATATATTGCTAGCGTAGCCATGGTGTTGAATAGTTTGTGAGTCTTTTGTCTACTTCATTCCTACCATTATGACTTCCTTTCTCTGTCCTCCCCAAACTTTTCCCCATCGTCCAAAGATACTGCTGTTGCTTGTTATTATCTACCAATGATTTGCAAATTATGTTAAATTTGCCTTTGAGGATGTGAGACCCTATGAAATGTCCATACAACATGACTAGGGATGGGGTTGCCCCCAAATTTCATAGGCAGAATATGGGCCCAGTCAGTCACTTTGTGAGTGGAGTGCAGCACCCCCCCCACCCCCCTGATTGACCAAGGGGGCCTGGTGGCCCTGCTTCTTGCTGCTGGTTGGCTGAGGGCTATCTGTCATGCAACCCCACCCCTGGCTGCTGATTGGTGGTGAGGGACTGGGCCACATAACAATCAGCCTTTACAGCCAACCCGTGGCAAAGTGTGGGGGCAGCAGCCATTTTGCTGGCAGCCCTTTGAAGGAGCAGTCCCCCCATTCCTTGCCATTTTTTCCTGCCCCAGCGAGCTAATGCAGTGCTCTGTAAGTTTTTTTGTTTGTTTGTTTGTTTGTTTTGGTTTTTTGTTTTTTTGTTTGTTTGTTTTTGTTTTGTTTTTTCCCCATGGATTTCGTGGATTCAGCAGATTTCATGGAATCCATGAAATCATGAATTTGGTAGGTCTCTAAAGATGAAACTATATATAAAAGCACCTATAGTCATTTTATTTGGCTGAATTCCTTTAAAAGCAGAGCTGTTGTTTTCGCACCGAAGAGAGAGTCTGTGCACAGGGTAGTGTTCTGTTAAAACACAGTCTGTCTCTCTGTTAGCGCTAAGTTAAATGAAATTTCTTTTTTCTTCATAAATGCATAACAATAAGCAAACTGTTGAGCTAATGGCTCATAGCCATTAAAAATTATAGTTAATATAAAACTTGAACTGTACTTAAAGTGGCTTCAACTTTGTCACGTATTGGATATATAATCAAGTTTGCACACTGAACTGTGCTAACATTGAGTGGCACCTTTGCAAGCATCTCATGGCAGCCCGGGGCACCACATCACCCTGGTTGAGACTCACTGCTCTAAGCATAATGTAAATAAAACAATTCATACATGTGAGTGGGGGGAACTTAAAAAGAAAAAATTTGAGTAATGAAGTTGCCAACAAATGAAGTACATATATTTTTTAATTTGTGATTTTTTTTTTTCTGTTGTAGAGTGGCTTCTACAACAAAACCTGAACCTGTTACTGTGCAAAAGGTATGTTCCTCTTTGTAACTGAAATAAGTACTATATACCACTAACTTCCATCAAGCCCTAATCTTGACATGACTCATTCAGACTGTGCTCTTAGTACCTGCTATAGGGTTTTTCTAGATGTACAAAGAACAAAAAATCACATTGCTCTTGCTAGGGTGATATTGATGTATTTACAGAAAACATGACACTTTTTAAAAGCTGTAAATAAATACATTGACTTTTAGCTTTTGGTCACCATGTTTCTATTACCTGACCATCTTTCCTTAGCTTAGTGACAGGCTCTAAGGTAGCCTCCATCCATCCCCAAAGAAAGTACTGTAGTTTTTTTCCAAGCAGAGACCATGACCTTTCTTTGTATGTGAAAGAAGTTGTAGAGAAAGCATTTCCCTTCAGCATTGATCTAGTTTTGGGCAGTGCTTTGAGCATTGCTCTATCCCCCAGTATGTCATGGTATGGTAGAATAGAGTATATAGGCAATATTACATGCATTAGGCTCCCTTTTTAAAACACAAGTATTTGGTTAAAATATTTTCGGGGAGGGTAGACATGAAGATTGGTTTCCTCAGCAGATATAAATAAGAAAATTATCAGCTTAGTGTTATGTGGAAATATATGGAAAGAAGAAACATTTTCCCACTTCCACTGGTCAGGGGACGCCGGGGGAAGGTAAAAAGATCTCCTGCCGCCTCCCCACACACACACTTAACACAATGTTGAAATACATGCACACAGGTCTAAATTTCTGTTCCCTGTGGTGGCTAAACTATGTAACCAGGTTATTGGTTTTATTGTGCTCCTAGCTCCTAATTGAAATTCTTCCACATCACAACCTTTCTCTCTCCCCCCTTTCCCCCCAGATTGTAAATTCCTGGGTTCTTTACCTAGTGTTGGTTCATCTTTTTACCAGATCTTTACAAATGTAATGCATAGGGATTTCAGCTGCTTCCCCAAACAAAATGGATGTGATTAATAGCCAAGTACACCTTTCTTCTTGTCTAGCATTTGGATTACATCAGTGAAATATTACGTGCTAATGCTTCCAGTGATAGACTTAGGGTATGGACGAATGCACTTACCCGATTAAAAAGGGAAGGGGGGAGCTACCTCTCAGGAGCATGGATTGGCTGTTATGTAAGAATACATACATCCTGTAGGAATACAGATTAGCTAAATTGTTTCACCCTTGATCTTCTCTGAAGCAAGCTTCAAGTTGGAATGATTTTTTTTTACACTGGCATCCCTATAGAATTGTACAGGCACAACACTTTCATCATCATAGCTTGAATCAGTAGTTCTTGTTCCTGATAGAGTTGTTATATCTGTCTCTACCTTTAGTCCTTTATGCTAGAAGCCTTTGGAAATCAAGGTCCTTTTTTAATTTCCCCAATTAGCATCCAAGTGGCAGACTGCAACATTAAAAAAATTGTATTATTTGGGTGCATGTACCCAAATATATTTTGATTGTTTTTGACAAGTGGAATTTGAATTTAAAAATTAAAGAAGAAAACCTGTGGAATAGAGTAACCAAATATTATTTGTGTGAGTCATCTGCTGGGTTTCACATCTGAGTGGGTCTGTTCCTTAACTATGAAATGTGATTTGAGGCAAGTGAATCTTGAATGAGAAAAGAGAAATCAGTGACTTGAGTTTGAGTTGCTTGCATGTGGTTGTATCCTTGCTTCCCTTGAATGCATGTCCTATCCTTTTTAAAGCAATAATGGAGGTGAAGTTTGCAGCTGTAACAACAGTTTCCATCTTTTATTTCAAGCCGGTGGGATTATCTTCTCTGCTTCCAATGAAAATGTCTATTCAGGATTTTGCATGTGGTTGGTGTTTTTGTGTGTTTCTTTTTTTTCACATAGGGAGAACTTAAAGAAGTAGTCAAACCTGTGCCCATTGCATCTGCTGTTGCACCCAAAGTAACTTCCACAGTGAATGTTGCCTACAATAAGGCACCGAGGCCATTCGGAGCTATCACTTCCTCAAAAGTCACATCCATTCCATCACCGTTGTCTGCCTTTACCCCAGCCCATGTGACTGTTCCATCATCACATGCTTCCCCTCCTCCACTGGCCACTGTCACCCCTCCCCCATTTGCTGCATCTGGACTGCATGCTAATGCAAAATCTAGTACTGATCAGCGTTCACCTGCACTGAGCGCTGTTAAAACTGCAGTTAATATCCCACGGCAGCCCACCACATACAATACAGCCCTGAATGCGCTTTCCACCGGGAATGTCCAGGATGTGACAGAAGGGCAAAGAAGAGGATTCAAAGAGAACCAGGGTGACAGTAAACAGCAAAATGGGTAGGTGGCTTCAGGGCACTGTTTGCTGTAAGGGACTTCTTTTCCAGGATGGTTTGTGAGCTTTGTTTAAAGGGATAAAACGCATCATGAATAAGTTATGTGGTTTTCAGGTGTCAGCTCTAACTAAGGTAAGTGATACTATTAGAGGACAGTTTTAAGTATTTAGGGACCAGCTTATTAGATGAGTTTAGCCCACTTCTTTTTGCCATGTAATCTCTACTATCTAATTCCACTTTTAAAAATATCAGTTGTAATCATTCGATGCGTTTTGAACTTTACAACAAACTCAGTGTTTTTTTTTTCAAGTCTTAACATGGTTAAGAAAGCAGCAAGCACCCAAAAATGGAAAGTTATTTGTCAAGAAGCATCATATGGGATTTTTAAAGCCAGGAATAAGAAACAGAATAACTTTACTCTTGAATATCCTTATATAGAGTATGATGTACATAACTGTGGGGAAGAGAGCATATTAAATTTCGGGCAGGGAATTTGGAAGTCCTGATGTATGTATAGGAAGTGTATCAAATTTGAACTGATTCTAATTTTTCAGTAATATAAATGAAACTCTTAGTGAAATTCAGGTACATTGAAATGTCTAAAGTCAGCACAAAAGTGAAGTAATATCTTAAAATATCTTAGCAGTCCAGGTATGTCAAAGAGAAAATTCTAGATATCATTTGAAATCATCTTGAGACAAAAAAGGGATTGAGTTTTAGCACTGTAAATTCAAAGATTCACTGAGCATTAAATCCTGTAGAAGCATGTTTTAAAGTATAATTGTTTGCTTTTATTGTCCATCTTGTGGCTTTCTTTTAACTAGATTTCTGAAGCCCAAAAACTACATTTTCATTAATAGTGATTTAAAAAGTGAGCTATTGTCAATATTCTTCCACTTCTGTTTAAAGGTCACCTGAAAAACAAGAAAAATGTAGTCCTGCTACATATATCTTTTCCAATATATGTTGGTTTTGATGCTGAACATGAGTAGAAACTTGCAAAGAGATAAACGTCTTTATCTGAACTAAAAAATATAAAATAAACTTGTGGTTTCAGTTAGACCACTTAACACTAAAAAAACCAAAAACCAACTTTGTCTGAAACATTCCTGTTATATATTGGAACAAATATCTTCCTCATGTTCATTCATATAATGCAGTACTTATGCATTTTATATCACTGTTGTCATGGTAACTTTTAAGACTCTCTCAAACAGATGATGGCAAGATTCCACACTGCTGCAAAAGAAAGAAAGCAGGAGGTCCTAAAGACTTGCTCAGTACTGGGAGACTTAAATATGCTTTGGCAAATCATGCATATCCTTCCAGGAAAGCTGCTTTTGCAAATGGGGACCTGGCTTTTAGCTACAGTAATTAGCGCTGGGTATTGGGGGTGGTGGGGAGAAAGCCAGTACCAGAACTGGGGCTCCTGCTGGGACTGCTCAAGGCAGAAAACTGGCACTTCAGAAAGAAAGGAAAGATGGCTGGATAAAGACCATATATGCATAATACGATGTTTAGTGAAAGAATAATACTGTATGAAGAAAATGCTGGATGATGGATTAAGAAATTCCTGTCTTCCTGCCAGCCTTAATGGATAGTTCTGGTCTGAGAACTTGGAAAAGGTTTGGGGTTGTTCAATTACACTTTATAACTAGGGTGACAAAATAGCATGCTTGGCCTACAACTTGATTGAGCACCCCTGTAAAATCTTTTGTCTTAGATTTAAAACAAAAAATGATAAAGCCACATGGATGTGCATCTGTCTATGTAAAACTGATTGCAGTCTGCACAGTCATAGTGGTAATCAATAAATGAAGTTCTTCCTGACTTAGCACAGGATTGGTGGATTATTTTTGGAAGAACTGGATAGTCTGAAAAAAAAGTTCCCTTCTTATGTACATATTAAGCTATTTTGTTTTCTGAGGATAAAAAAGGTGAGGTACCTCTGGTTTAAGACAGCATTATTGAGCAAATAGAAGTCTCTAGATTTTGCAGTACTCAAAATATTTTGGTTTCAAATGTTGATCGAACCCTTATTAGTATAACGGAATTTGCTTACCCATGAAGGAGATGCAGAGCTGATTAAATGCTAGGACAAGTTACACTGCCCTTTTTATAAATATATTTAGACTAGTGTAATTCTATCTGTTTACAGAAGACCTAAGTAGCAGCACATCACAGTCTTACATCTAGTGTACTTTGGGAATATCTGTGAACAAGCGATTACTTTTTAGCTTTTATAGCTGAAGAACAGAATACTTTTACAGACCATTCTGCTCTCCCTTTAAGTCATATTTCATTCCAGTCAAGTCAATGGAGCAGCCTCAGAATTTTATGCAGGTATGAACGAGCTGAATCTAGTCTAGTGCTCTTTAAAGTAGGGTAAAATTGTTCTAGAGTTTAAAAATGATTTCTTGTCTTTAATTAAAAAGAGAGTTGTCTGAACATTCTACAGCAGGTGAGAATCTTAATTAATATAACTATATATGCATATCTGTAATAAAATATGTAAGATTAAGAGTAGGAGGGGAGCTGTCTGAGGGCAAATAACTAGTGAGAGTAAGTCTTAGCACCCTGGCAGTTAGGACCTGTGATGAATTGACAGCTAGAAAGGAAAGGTCCTGACTGCTACTATCATTTTGAGCATGTGTAAATCACTGCCACTATTACAGAATTTATTTCAAAACTTGTCAGCTGTAGTGCACTGAACAAAGCTAACAACACATCTCTGTTAAGCTCTGGATGGTTTCTGAATGATGCTTACACTAATTGATTTATCATGTAGCTGTTTGGAGCTCTTATGTAATAAAGTGTCACGCCACATATAATGAACTTCCCATGCTGAGAATGTTAAAGTGGCATAGTTATTCCAAAATATGACATTTCATCATGCTGAAACCTTATTAAACATGAAGACTGCAGCCCTACAAAAACCTTCTTTCTTCAAGAGATAAAAGATTTGCTATCCCTGTAGGGTGGGGAAGAGGTTTATTTTCCATTCCTTAGGAGATGGGTTAAGGGAAGAGCTAATTTAATTCACCTGGCTGAGTTTAATTGTGCTTTTACCAAAACCTTCTTGCCAAATTACTTCTGCATGGGAACATGCTTGCTGCTTAAAACAGGTAAGACTGCTACAGATTCTCACTTGTTCCCAAAAGACAGGGCTGAAATTTTCACTTATAGGTTCCTGATGAACTCAACTCAGCACTAAAAGAAATCTGGCCTTTTGCCAGAACTGGATTTGGAAGACTCTAGATCATAGGAAATACTGAGAATGGAAATCATAGCAATAATGCATTAAAAACTTCTTTTCCTTTGCAGGTAACAACAGTGACAAAGTTAGTATCAACAGCACTGGTGCTGAATTATGGTGGTTCGTGTTGTTGGAATAACCAGCATGTATGACTGTTTTGCAAAATCTATATTTTGTAAAACAGCTTCAGCTTTATAAATAACCACATTTTAATATAATAAGTTGTTTTTGTTTCTGCCTTGGACATGGTGTGATTTGGCTTTTCACAGTATTAAGTAATGAGCATTTATGTATTTATTTACAAAATACTTGTGTGTGTACTGATCAGTTATTGTTATCCCTATTTATTTAATGCCAGTTTAATGTTTAGGGAGGGTAAATTATGTGATTTTGGGACTGACAGGCATCCTGTTGCTAAATCAGCATAACTTAAAAATATTTCAGTTCTTAATATTAGATGCAATCAATCTTAATGGGTTGTTTTTCATTCTCCATCATTCCAACCAATATTCCCCTCTATTCTTTCTGTCTGCCTCACCTTATTTCCTGCACTTCATCTCCAACTAAATGTAAATGTTATTCTGTGTTAGTCATTCCTTCAGACAGCTATCTCAGTTATACGGGTTTTCTTTTTTCTCCCTTGGCTCTGGCACCATCTTGCTGCCTCCCTGAGTAATTACCACTAAGAGCCTCAGACTTTAAAAACATAATCTGGTACAAAGTGAAGAGAAACTACCCAGTAAAATACTTGGTTTGTGATGTAGCTTTTAATTAATGTTAGCAACTATTTACTTGCTTGCATTCATTAATATAATTAATTGCATTAGAATGTATTTTAATATGTTGCTGCATATTAATTCCTGTAGCTAAATTTACACATTGATACAGTCTTCTTTTTCCAGTTTAATAATTTCTATTAACTCTCTTTTTTGTTGCTTCACCTCATTTTGTCTGTGTATCTTACCTGTATTCCATTCTCCTGGAAACGCCATTCTTTTTTGTTTTCTTTCCTGTGCCCCTCCCTCCTTCAGTAATCTTGAGGATGTGTAAGTACTTCACTAATAATATTTGTCACTTTCTTTGAATACTACCTTTTATATATAGTTTTGTATTATGTCTTTCCCATACCTTTTTG